GTCAATTTCCTAAATCTTACGTCTTGAAATCCCATTGTAGACACCGCGTTAGGTTGCGGTCAAGCTGCCGCTTCAAACGCTTCAAAGCGTTTCTTTTCTTCGTTTTTTTTTTACGGAAATAAAGAAGAAGACTATTCCAAATTGTTGTGAAGGCTCCCGAAAAGAAAAATATAAAGGAAGGAGAGAATGTGCCAATGTGAGCCACAAAATGAACAGAACTCTGTTCTCACAATATATATATTCCTCAATTTCTATTTAATATACGTTTCGACCCTTCTTCGGGTCTTCTTCAGTAACTACAAAGAAGTGTGAGTATAATAAAATTTGTAATATATATATGTATATATAGCTGGGAGCAACAAAATCAAACAGATACCTCGCTCAATCGAAAATATAGATCGGCACAGCATCGAAGTCTATTTCGAAACATTTGAAGCAACAGCTTGACCACAGCCATAGATACTTTCAGATAAGGATCAAACATCAATCGCCGCGCATGCGCGAAGGCGCGACCGCCACCCACCCTGGCGTCACTGCCGTCACTCATCACTGGTATTCAGTGTGTGAATACTGTGAATGTGGTCAACTAGTGATTGTGGCATGGCTTCGGAGTTTACGTTCCGTGTTGTTCCGTGCCTTTTTATCTTTTTCCGCGGACATATATAAATAAATAGAAACATGAAGAAGGAAAAAACGGGCGATAACAGCCGCCCCTATAGATTGGGTAAGAAAAACGCTCGCATTTTCGGACCGTTTAGCAACCATCGTCACCGGTCGATGCTTCCGTTCACCGTTTCGAATTTTTATTAATGTTCACTAAAATGCTCTCTATCCGTTCTCCACTTTTGATTACGGCTACCGAGCGGAAAACGGCGCGTGCACTCGCGTAAAACGTTCCGAGACAAAAATGAGGATTGCATCTTTCTTTTTTTCGTATTGTAAGGTTATGTTCTAGAAGTTCAGGTCGTACATCAGTTTGACGTGTTATCACTTTTTTTTACTGAAGTAACTAATACGCATTTCACTGCGACCGATATGATTGCAGCTCATCAGATATTGAGTTTGACGGGGATAAACTTTCAAAGGAAGAACATAATTGGTTTCGTCGAGCTGACGATTATACCACTGCGAGACACACTGAGGCTGGTGAAACTCAACGCCAAACAATGCAGGGTATACAGAGTGTGCTTAAACGACACTTATGAGGCACCATTCCAATATTTCGATCCGTTCCTGGATATTTGCCAGGGTGACAATAAACAGTAAGCGAATCCCTCCTCGGCGAGCGACGACGACACTCAGGGGGTTGTTAATAGGCTGATTATCACCTTCGTTGCAGACGTTCCCTGGAATTTTTCTCCAATATGCATCTAGCGACCGCCCAGAAAGTCGACCCCGACAGTAACACCGGCGAATTAGTGGTTCAAATACCACCGGATGCGGCGCATTTAGTTGCGGAAGGCCGGAGCTTGAGGATCAGCATCGAGTTTTCCTTGGAGCAGCCTCAAGGAGGTGTGCACTTCGTGGTGCCAAACTGCGAAGGAACTTTAGCTGAGGTGAGGCAGCGTGTTATAGTATTTGTTTTGATTTATTGTACAGAATCGTCCATCAACTGATGGTATGTAAGGGAGGTTCCAACTTCCTTTTCGAGTCCCTTCCTTCTTATCGTAAGAAGGGGCGATCGAATAAAATCCGGCAACCCTTGGTCGGATTTGAACTCGGAACTCTGGCTTACTATACCAGCGCGCGTCTTTGCGCTACGATCGCCACAGGCAGTGTGTTATAATAAAGGAATTTTCCTATTTTGAACCTACCAGATTGCGATACCTTTATCTATGATGATTCAATGGGAATTGTACTTTATGGATTTTCAAATTTACATTCGAGCAAGTCTAATATATCCAATGATGCTGCAATCCGTGTCGGACTCTAGTCTTTTGCCTTCAATTCGAGGTCTTCATTTGAAATAATCCCAGATTTGGTTGACTAGGAGCAGAATTATCAGCCTACTGCCCAACTGCCAATCTCGAGATTCTCGGTGGTTGCTTCCGAGAGGTGGTATTTGATTAAAAACCAGTGGCTCTTGGACTCGAGTCTTTTCATTTGTTTACTGAGCAGTACACATTTCTTTGCGTCATGTTCGCCACACATATCCGAGCGGTTGTGTCAATAATTTGCTGTCTTTATAAAGATATTCCAGTAAACACTCTTCGTACCAAGTAACTTCGACTTTACGTTTTCCAAACTAATAACCTGCAACTCCTGTGCAATAGTATGGGCAATATTTTTCCAGAACTCTGTCCTTTTTGCATACTAATAATAATTGTTTTTCAGAGAGGTGCCCACATGTATACGTACAGCTACGAAAATTCATCTAGATTGTGGTTCCCGTGTGTGGACAGTTTTGCCGAGCCATGTACTTGGAAATTGGAATTTACCGTTGACGACTCGATGACCGCAGTCTCCTGTGGAGATCTGGTCGAGGTGGTCTACACACCCGACATGCGTAGGAAAACATTTCACTACGTGCTCAACACTCCTGCGTGCGCCCCGAACATTGCACTAGCAGTCGGGTAAGTAACTAGAAACGGTTAATCGACGTCTCGTTATTTATAGCATAATAAATGTGAATTCTTTTCTCTGTAGACCCTTCGAGATTTTTGTGGATCCTTACATGCACGAGGTGACTCATTTCTGCCTGCCTCAACTTTTGCCATCTCTGAAAGTATCGGCAAAATACATGCACGAAGCATTCGAATTTTACGAGGAGACCTTGTCGAATCGCTATCCATATTCTTGTTACAAGCAGGTTTTCGTCGACGAGATAGACGAGGACATCAATGCCTACGCCACTATGAGCATCCTAAAGTAAAATTGAGCTCTTTTTGTGGGATGTATAATTTAATTCTACCACTGTACTTACGAGTTGTTTTACTTTCAGTACGAATTTGCTACATTCTACTGCGATTATAGATCAAGTATACATTACTAAGAAAGCAATGGCGCAAGCGATTGCAGAACAGTTTTTTGGATGTTTCATATCGATGCAAAATTGGTCAGATACATGGTTACCTAAAGGTATTTCCACGTATCTTACGGGACTCTACGCGAAGAAGTGTTTCGGTAATAACGAATATAGAGAATGGATACAATCCGTAAGTACCTATACGTCATAATACACCCGCATTTTTATGTTCCCTTCAGCCTATTTGCCTTGGTTGACACATACGGTTTTGTAGGAATTGCAAGAAGTCGTGAAATATGAAGAACAGTTCGGCGGTATAATATTAGACCCGTCCCAAGCACCAGCACCATTACCCATTGCAGCTAATACTCCAGCACCTGCTCCCCGAGCTCCCGATCCTGGATTTTATTTCCCTATTAAAAATTTGCATACCATGTCTCCAAAATACATTGAAGTTCTCCGCAAGAAGGCACATCTAATCATGAGAATGCTAGAACACAGGATCGGCCAAGAATTATTACTTCAAGTAAATATATATATTATACGTATACATATATTTATTTTCTAAATATGCGACAGTGGATTGAACTATACTGATTACATTTTTATAATTTTTTTTTATAGGTATTCAATAAACAGTTGTCTCTAGCAGCCAATGCAGCACAACAAAAAATTGAGTCTGGCCTGTGGTCGCACATGTTGATTAGTACAAATGTATTTGCTAAGGCAATCTTTACTGTGACAGGAAAGGATATGTCAATATTTATAGACCAATGGGTGAGAACGGGAGGACACGCGAAATTCAGCCTAAGTTTCGTATTTAATAGAAAAAGGTACCTTTCTGCTTCAGTTTAATTGCATCTATTATTACGTTATAAAAAGTAAGTTAAGCACACGTTTACACACGTTATAGAAATACGGTGGAGTTGGAAATTAGGCAAGACACCGCACATCAAAGAGGGATTAGGAAATATGTGGGTCCGTTAGTGGTCAATATTCAGGAGCTGGACGGTACTTTCAAGCATACATTACAAATTGAAGGTACAATGGCCAGGGCGGACATCACGTGCCACAGTAAAAGTCGTAGAAACAAGAAGAAGAAAATTCCTCTGTGTACCGGCGAGGAAGTCGATATGGATCTCTCTGCTATGGAGTAAGAGCGCGATAATTCTCATTGCATTTTGCAGGAAACAACTTTAGGTATTATATGTTGTCTTAAAACAAACATTGCTTGTTCGTCTACAGCGATTCTCCGGTATTATGGATCAGACTTGATCCTGAAATGACAATCATGCGAGCTGTGCAAATTGAGCAACCTGATTATCAGTGGCAGTATCAATTGAGACACGAGAGAGACGTCACCGCACAACTGGAAGCGATCGAAGCTCTGCAGCATCATTCAACACCTCAAACACGATTAGCGTTGACCGACACGATTGAGAACGAACACTGTTATTATAAAGTCAGACTTCGCGCTGCTCATTGCTTGACAAAGGTTAGTCATTATTAAACGCCGATTTCTTCAACTCAATTTTACAAATGTACATACACACTTGCAGGTAGCAAACGGCCGCAACATGGTAGCGCAATGGTCAGGCCCGCCAGCGATGCTGGCCATATTCAGAAAATTATTCGGATCTGCGTCGTGTCGGCGAATTATTAAGCAAAACAATTTCTTGAATTTTCAACATTACTTTCTACAAAAGGTTTGACGCTTACTTATATCGCGTCAAAATGATTTAGCGATATCTTGTTTCTGAACCTTCGTGTGTCTATGCAGACTATACCAGTCGCAATGGCGGGATTACGCAATGCCCATGGTATCTGTCCACCGGAAGTGTTGGCATTTTTAATGGATCTTTTCAAGTACAACGACAACAGTAAGAACAGATATTCCGACAATTATTACAGAGCCGCACTAATTGAAGCTCTTGGCGCGACTGTTACACCGGTTATCAGCGTGCAGCAGGGGTATGAATATTCGAATATCTCTTTTTTGTTTTTTACAACAAGATGTACAACAATCTGAGATAAATTTCTTAATGTATCGTTACAGAACAGCTATTACAGCAGAGTCCCTGTCCATCGACACGAAGGCCATTCTAGAAGAGGTCACGAGAAACTTGAACTTGGAGAAATTGTTACCCTGCTACAAATATACCGTCAGCGTAGCTTGTCTTAAAGTTATACGCATCCTCCAAAAGTTCGGCCACCTTCCAAGCAATCCTCATCTTTTTAGAGCGTACGCAGCGTATGGACAATTTATAGGTAATGTTCTGTTCTGTTCAACAACAGTATCGACTTTTCTGCGAATTGCCAAAATTCTTAACGATCGATTGACATTTTCCAGACGTTCGAATCGCAGCTCTAGAGGCCTTGGTCGATTTTACTCGCGTGGACGGCAAATGGGAGGACTTGGAATTCTTATTAGATATGGCAGAAATGGATCCACATCCTGGCGTGCGCCACAGACTTGTACGGCTGATGGTGGAGAATCCGCCATTCGAAAGAGCCCATAAACATTGCTTGGATAAACCAGATCTGGTCGATCGCATATGGAACTTGATCAAGTACGGCGGTTCTTCTTCAATCTCGCTTGTGAATGTTATTTTTCTTTCATGTGAATTAACATACGTGATTTTATCTACAGCGGCATGCTGTCGCACGATGCAAAGTTGCGTTGCGATTTGGTGGATTTGTATTACACTTTGTACGGTACGAAAGTCCCATTTTGTCTACCCATTCCCGAAATCGTGGCGCTCATGAAGCCTAAGAAAGTTGGCCCGCCAAGTCCAGAACGCGAGGTGAGACTTACGTTCCGCCTGTTGCGCGATTGTCAAGCTTCATTTTCACAGCAATGTCCCAATCCTGCGTACTCTGTTCAGGTGAAAGCTGCGCCGGTACAGCACGTGAGACACGAACCGATCGAAGAGGTTGAAAGCCTGCCTGTTTCGAACAAGAGGAAATCGTCTCCCAACAAAGATACTCCGGGTCCGTCAAATCCAGTGGAACATCCACCAGAGCCAAAACGACAAAAGACAGCAAATAATGTATGTAAGATGATTTTATCCCCGTTATCGGGTCAAGCGAATCTACGGCTAATGTTTTTTGTTTCAGCACGACGAACGAGGAATTCCGGTACCTGGTGAAGGGAAAGTAAAATCTGAATATTACAGTGACAATTCCGCGTCACTGCCTGGTATCATGGGAACGCCCGGTCCTGTAGGCTTCGAGCCCGGGATGTTTAAAAAAGATGCGGACGAGCACAAGCCGAAAAATGATTCCGGCAATAAGGTACGCCAAGTTTATCAAGTGGTAGACGGTATCCTTGTACGCCAATGACTCGCGTGTGGTTTTATATAGAAGTTTTATATATAAAAAAAATATATATATTAAAATCCGCGACACATTTTCGCCGTTCTTGCAGAGTAAAAAGAAGAAGAAGGACAAGAAGAAGCACAAGCACAAGCATAAGCATAAACACGATCACAAGCACAACAAGGATAAGGAGAAGAAGGAAAAGGATAAGAGTAAAGATAAGGATAAGGAAAAGGATAAAAGCAAGGACAAGGATTCATCCGCTTTAAAGATTAAGGATGAGACTCTCAGCTCTGCGAGTTCTAGTCAAAGCCCAGAGCCAACTGTCACCAACGAACTTCTTTTTCCTTAGGAACATGCAATCATGCATTCGAAATTTTTATCACCTTCACCGTTTACACTTTGTACAACTATATGGTATAAATAATCATGAAACAACATGTAAATATTCTTAAAAATAATATATGTATATGTACATATATATATTAAATGTATATATTTATAAATGTTGTATATGTACATGTGTATACAACATACATACGTATGTTAAAATTAATATACACATGTTACAGTACAATATTTATAAATATTATATATATTTATTTTATTAATAACACGAATGTACATAGAAATAAAGGTAATGGTATGCTAGTTAGCGCATTTTATTACACATTAATGTAAAAAAAGAACAGATTTTTTAAATAATGCATAATAAAGAATCATATTATCCCGTTAAATCTGCTTTTGTATATTATATTGTACACAATATTTATTCGATTGTATCTTCCATCTTTTTCCCTAGACACATCAAGTAGGCGCCTTTGTTGTCGATCGCCGTAAGTCCCCGGGACGAGGGATCTTTCAAAATTTGCTCGATATCCGGCGACCATATCCCCGTTTCGAATCTAATCATCCGGTTCCAGGTTCGTTACCGACAACAGACGCGCTCCCATTTGAACGGCCGTTGCGCGCTTGCTGGGATGGCGTCCGTGGCGTTGCGGCAATTTCGAAGGGACTAGCGGGTTTTGAAAATTTTCGCGACGCCCGTGATAATGGCAGATAATCAGCAGAGCAGATTCGAGAAGTCCCTCGGGCTGCTGACCACCCGCTTCGTCACCCTGCTGCAGAAAGCCAAGGATGGCGTGCTGGATTTGAAAGTCGTGAGTACTCTCTCGGGGGGGCCTCGCGAGGGCAGCGAAAAAGTTAACCTGTACTAGGTTAAGTGACCGCGGGCCTACACGTCATACTTGGGTTGCGGGAATTTTGAAAGAGGTGCGCGGCGCGGGGACCGCCGCCCGTGCACCCGGGCCCGCCTCCCCGACTCCGCGGACGAGCCCGCCGGCTGCCGCCGGGTCCGCGGGCCGGCCCTCGGCGCGGCCGACGCGCCGACGGTATCGCAACGTCGTAACACGCGATGCCGCCTTAACCTATAAGCCGCCGCGGGGGCCCTCGGCGGGACGTCCCGGCGACCGACCGGGATCGCTGCTCTACGATAACGTGTTGCAGGCCGCGGACATCCTGGAGGTGCGGCAGAAGCGGCGTATTTACGACATCACCAACGTCCTCGAGGGCATCGGCCTTATTGAGAAAAAGAGCAAGAACAGCATACAATGGAAGTAAGTGCCCGCACGCTTCTTCGCTCTCGCCGCGGTACCGCGCTGTCACTACTTTTCAAACCCGTGCTTGAAGGGGCGCCGGTCCTGGCTGCAACACCCAGGAGGTCGGCGAGAAGCTGTCGAGTTTGAAGGAGGAGATCGGCAAGCTGGAGGATCACGAGCATCTGCTGGACACCCATACCCAGTGGATACAGCAGAGCATAAAGAACATAGAGAATGATCGTGAAAATATGAAATACGCGTACATCACGTACGAGGATGTCAAGGCGAACTTTGCCGATCAGTTTGTGCTGGGGGTACAGGGTCCTCCGGACACGGAGTTGACAGTACCAAATGTCTTGAAGGTATACCGAGAGATGTCCAGAAAACGTTTGTTCCGTTGCGCCGCGGTCCCGAGTAGGTCAGAGCTTCCAAGCTGGTTTCGTTACAGCGGCAATTTTCAAAGGCTGTAAGCTCTGGGTCAAACCTCTCTGGAGGACTTGTTTTCTTAACGGATTTAGTGTTATTTGGAAGTTTCTGTCCTCCAAGGGACGGCACGGACAACAAGACCTGGGAATGAAACTCAAGTCTTCCGCTTGATTATTGTTCTGGCATCGAGCTGTTCGCCATCTAATGAAATCTAGGGAATCTTTAATTATATCGATATACATTTGTCGTTTATGCGTTGTTTTGTATATTTGGCAGACTGTCATTCAAGACGACGCAGTGATAAATTACAATATGCTCCTGAGAAGTAATACGGGAGAGATTAAGGTATATATGGTCCAACCTGAGCTAGCTAAGACTTACGATAATAAGGTGTTAGAAATGAGATTGCAAGAGGAAGCCAAGGGTACGAAGCGCGGAAACGAGGAGGACGAGAAGAAAGAGGAGGAGGTTCCTGTTAAACCAAAGAGGAAAGTTGGCAGGTGAGAGATCAATCCATCTACTCTTAAGAAAGACATGTAAGAGATTTGTTGGCGCTTTCCAACGATACTTATTGGTTCGGCTTCACTTCGTGTTGCAAAAGTAACGCAGAGATTATGTATATTTTGATGGTTTTTCTCTTTTGCATATATATTTGTCATGTCAGGTTTTATCTTCCTACGTTACGTCTTTTTTGCATGAAAACAATCTAAAGATTACATACATACATAAATTACAACTAAACCGCGCGCAATGTTGGTAGAAATGTTAAAAACAAAGAGAGGAAGCAAACGCAAATATCTCTGTATGCTCTAATCGTGTCAGGAATAGTAAAATAATATTCCTGATCTGCACAGAGCAAATAATACAATTGCTAATTGATTTTGTAAGGGGATGAATAGTTATAAAGCTTGAGCTATTCATTTGATACAAAATGTACAGTTCCCTACGTTACGTTATCTATTTCTCAGGATTAAAGTTATATTGAAAAATACATTAAATGTACTTCAATATTAGGCCGCCAAAAAACAGCGTTAAACCGGATCCGATAATAACTGACGACGAGGAAGAAGAGGATTCGGAATTGATAGAAGCTAAGATAGTACTCCGTGATGTAAGCACTACAGGTACTTGTCTTGATTTGCTGTATGTATGTTGCGGCGTGAAGTTTTTCACCGCGTTCTTAATTATTTTTTAATTACAGATAATATTGTCCAAAGAGATCTGGAGTTGTTCTCTGACCACTTCTATTCCGACTGTAAGTCAAATCTTAAGCCGATAGTTCGATCTTATATTTAAGGTAGTTGCTTCGCACACAGTAATGCTCAAAGGTTTCTTCCAGACAGGAATCAACACTGAATTATTACAATGATATATCTTGATGCGATATTGCTCTAAAGAATACACTTACGATTAATACATAGTATAAAATAGATTCGAAAGATTATAGTTTGACGTGCTGTTGCCACATCTCTTACACAATACACTCATATCTACTACATAATTCTTCCCATTTTTCAGTTTTAACTTTTTTATATTGTTGAAACGGAACGGTCAATAATTTTGAATTTTTGCCCAGTCATTCGTTCTATTTCACTTTATGACATATTTGTTTCTCATACGAATCCCGCTCATCGTTAAGCTTAACAAAAATAAAATGTGCCATCATCTGCGTTTGAAAACGCAAATATTAATATTTTAACACGTAATAATACGTGTATTAATATTACAACGAATTACATTGTTACGTGTAATAATATTTTTAACGTGTTTCACACGTAATATTTCGTGTAACATAACAAGCTTCGAACATTTTTTGTTAGAACTTTGAGACGGTCAATTTTAATTTAATTAGTCTTATTCTGCACGTATTAATGTAAAGAATAGACTGTAAAAATTTGAAACAATTCTCACGTAAATGATTTTACGAAATAACTACCTTAAGATCGTTTTAAATAAGATCACGAGACACTGTCCGATTATTTTTCCTTGCTGGATGAAATCTTAAAGTTGTCCACGATCAGATTTAAGACGAATCTTGAATACAAGATCGTGCTGTGGATACCACATTGTTACATTTCTTCTTGTGCATATTCAAACAGTCAAACTGTACTACTAACTGTACAAATTTCATTTGCAGTTTGCGGACCGTTAATGAGATTAAGTCCACCGCCCGGGGAAAAAGATTACCATTTCAATCTTGGTGAGAACGAGGGTGTTTATGATTTATTCGACATTACGACGACGTAATGAGTGTTGAATTCATGTAGCTTCGATATGCAAAGAAGAAACTGTGCCAACAGTATGCAAAGACGGAAAATCTGATGAAATCATGATGAACTTGTGCATATAAGTTTAGGGAAATTAATGGATCACAATCATTGAGAGTATACAGTATTTTTTTATTATTAAAAGTACGGGAAGCTAGTGCGAGGCATTGTGTGAAGATACCTACAACCTGTTCTGACCGCTGTTTATTTTGTACATTGCTGGGAGTAATTCGAAGTTTTAAAGGCATTTTTTTTTTATATATATAAATAGTTCTACTAAAGATTATCCTTGTAGGTTTAAGTTGGCTCACCACAAGCTTGCTTCGTGAACATGAATCACCTGGACGGAAATACACGGTCGTTCGCAATGATTTTTCGTTCGCTGCAGGAGACAAAGAATTGGCGAATGTATATAACCAAATAGAACTTAGCTTTCTCCGTTTACATTGCAATTCAGAAGATTGACTATACATGACGTTACGAAGCAAGCTTTCGTCAGATGTTGGACGTTTTAACAACTTGCGTACACGTACCCCCTAATGTATTCTATAAAATGCTGGGACGTGGTTAGTATGTATGTATATTGCGCGAATTGGACATTTTTTAAAAATATTTTACGAAACTGTGCGTACCCAGATCTCTACTGCTGGGGCAATGCATACGCATCCGCTTATATTTATGTACAGTATACCTTTGTCGCGTGACACGCAGGATCATCGAGTCAATTGTATTTCTTAACACAGCTCTCACATATACATATATATCTCTTTCTCTTTTTCTCTCTCTCTCTCTCACTCTCATGTCCGATTATATTGTCTTGAATATACGACTGCAGAAACTCGACGTTTCGTTTTCTGTGTCGGGGGGGGGGGGAGGGGTCTCGCGCGCGAGACCAGTATTATCGACCACCCTCTACGTTACCAGAGAGAGATGTGCAACGGTTCGTACGATTGTGCAACGGTACACGACCGATTCGGCGGAAAAGCGCGGCCGTATCGGCGGATGACGCGTACCAAGGACGGATAAGAATGGCTCGGTCGATTTCGTCATCGCGTCAGCACGTGTTCCGTCAACGTTCGCTGTCCGGGAAGGGGGGGGGGAGGAGGAGGAGGACAACTCGACCGCTCGGCTAGTCGAGCGCGTCACGTCGCCGCGAGAGCCACGCGGGATTCCCAGATGTCTACGGTTCGTCACACCCGGCGACGCACACGCACGCAGCGGCCGCAGGCAGCCTGTCGGAAACTAGCGCAGCGAGCGCGTTCACCGAGGAGCGTCGCGCGGCCCGTCGGCCCCTACGCCCGTTCCCCGTGACGCCGCGGAAGGTAACCGACTCCGCCGCGTGTCTCGCGGGGCGACAGTAGACATCCGTGACGTAATGCGTCACGGGAGTTGCGAAACACGTGTCACGTCGAGATTTTTCGGGAGGCAGATCGATCGAACGGTTCGTCGCTGGAGCGTGTAGACGAGGAGGTAGCGAGGTGATTTCGATTAACTCCCGATCGATGATCGATTTGTCGAGTGACCTGCGATACGCGGCGAATGGAATTGTTGGTTTCTCGTTGGGGGTTTTTTTTTGTTAGAAGGGAAACTTGGGGGATTTAGCAACGATGAATTTTGCGGCCGAAAGTTTTGTAACAATTGTGTCGGTTGATTGTGAGCTGATTAAGTTATAGATTTGTGGCGATACTGAAGGCGAGTCTTGAGTCCTCTTCGGTCTAATTTAGGTGCAATTCGTACCCCTTTTTTTCTTACTGAATTAACAAATTGTGCGGTATCTTCTAAACTGTATTTAGATTGCTCGGCGTGTAATTTTTGGCGCACTGTCAAACAGAAGAATTTGTCCCGAAAAGTGATTTTGACACATGACAGCCGCGACAGCATGCATGTCCGAGGTCCGGTTTCACCAAACGTCGCTTAACTTCAATCGTAGTTTAATTCATGTTCGCCTCTTTCTAAAGTCACAGTTGGAAAGAGACGAAGAACGAATGAAGCTAAGCTTAAAGTTGAACAACTGAATCTGGTTGTTTAATTTATTTATTTTAATTTATTGTAATATAATTATAATATATATATCTAATATAATATAAATAATAATATATATTATATTATAATAATTATAATATATTATAATAATTTATTATAATAAATGTATAAATTAATTTGATAAAACCGGGCCTCACAAAGACGTAAAAACATCTTTAAGATACCTTTTAAACACGCATGTCTAACTGATTGTTAAATTATACCTTTTCGGTTAATTAACGTTAACTGGAAAAATGTAAATGCATAAACAGATCGACGATCTTACGCAGGTTCGCACGATTGCCGCAATTCGAGTAAACTTATTTAGTGATATGTATGACACTATTGTGTCTTGAATATGCGTACTTATTTATGAAGTGATAATGAAGTAAGTAAATTTATAATGCATTATACGATTTGTAAATTGAAGATATATGGACAGTCGATAATAGGCTTGTTTTCTATATATTAGAGTAAGACAGCGACACTAGTTCACTAGTGCAGTAAGTTGAATGAAAAAAAATACTTGTCTTACACTAATTTATTGCACGGTTCAGTGCAGCAATAGAAAACAAATTTTATGTCTACATTTTTCAATTTCCTTCGGGGGGCCCGTTGGGCGCCATTTGATAATCACGAAAGTTTCTCCAAGAATATTAGCTTATCACTGATAGCACCTTGTCAACGATCCAATGTTAGTGTTTCTATTACCGTGTACTATCACTTATTACCCCGACAGTCCAATGTGTGTGTTAGTTGTTTCGTTTTCACTGTTAATAAAGCGCAAAATAATAATTTGAAATTGCCTTTGCAGCCCAGGCATCGAAGATGCGCATCATATTCGTGAAATTCCGCGAGATATCGCAGAGATACCCGATTGTTCGAGGCATGGCGTCCTACTCGATTATATGGCCGACCGCGAATTTGTTGCAACAAAAGATAATGGGGAAGGAAGAGTTTAGTTACACCGAGGCCGTGCGTTTCTGTCTGTACGGAAGTCTTTACGTAGCGCCCACGCTGTACTGCTGGCTGAGATGCGCGTCTTACTTCTGGCCGAAGGCGGATTTGAAGTCTGCAATCACTAAGGTGTATATATGCGTAGCAGACATTGAATAACTTAAGTTATTTGATTTTGTATGACAAATTGATTTAGTCACACGAATAAAAAATTGAACTGACGTAATAATGGAGTAACTGGATAATCGTAGGCTTTGGTCGAGCAAGTTACGTACAGCCCCGCAGCTATGTGTTCCTTCTTCTTTGGCATGAGCCTTCTTGAATTAAAGCCAGTTTCGGAATGCGTCGACGAGGTCAAAATTAAGTTTTGGCCAACATACAAGGTATCATATCCTCGATAGATGTATTCTCAAGTCCGTGATTAAGCGCATTAACGAGATATTATTCTCCTCCCTAGGTTGCCATTTGCGTGTGGCCGATTCTGCAAACCGTCAATTTCTTTCTAATCCCGGAACGTAATCGCGTTGTGTATGTCAGCGTATGCAGTTTAGTCTGGACATGTTTCCTCGCATACATGAAATCGCTCGAGGCCAAGCGGAAGCAGAACGAGCTGGTGAACATTAATAATGTTAATCCCAAGATGATAATGGAAAGTAAAGCGCAAACCAATGAGAGAGCCAGTCATATGCAAATTCCTCTACTACGATGATTGTTTTAGGAGATTTATATGCTGTTAGATTAATTTGTACATAGGACTTACAATTGGAAGCTATATTTATATTTTATACAATATGACGCGACTCACGTATGTGTAAATATCTGTGATATTCACAGTACAAAAGTATTACCTATTTTTGCAGAAATTTGCTATGACATTTAATCAATACAACTTAATAATATTTAAAAAAAGAATTGAAAGTACATTTAAATCCTTTTAAGTGAAAATATTACGAATGACGGTAATATATTTGGTTTACCCCAATTGTTAATATAATGATAATACTAGACATAAAGAACAATAATAAAATTTTTGACGAAATTTATCAGATCGGATTAGATTTTGCGTGCTTTTTATCTTCCCCTATGGTATGTTAAGCCAACTGAACACGATACTGTTTTTTTTTTCTACTGGATTGCTTACGAGAGCCAATTAGAATGCAGAGTTTTAGATAGGGTGAGACTTGAGGCTAAATCCTGATTGTCTCGCGTAAGCAATCCAGTGGGAAAAATAGTATCGTGTGCCGTTGGCTTTAGAAGTTATAGAAATATTGCATTACGAGTTTTACCGAGTTTAATAAAGATATATTAAACCGCTTTAGCAGTTATAGAAATATTACATTTTTAATAAAGACAAATTTAGAAATATTATAAATATTACGTTACAAATTTTACCGAGTTTAATAAATACCGAGAATTTAAAGAACTTTCTTATTTCGATAAAAGTTTAAAATAGATATTTAAATCTTAGCAAAGTTACGAACCCTATTTAGCGTGGACTGGAACCTCTTAAGTGGAATCTCAAATTTTTTAGATCGCACTTTGTTAATCTCGAGAATTACGTAGGCAGTCTTTTTAGAGGTTCACAAGCAAAGAAAATCAAATTTCAGCAACCAATAATTAAAAAACTTTTGAGAATAATACACTTTTATAATATAGATTACATGTATTTTGAATTTTTACTTTAGTACTTTTTACTGTTAATTATTCTTCTTATTTGCCAAATGCATTTTTATTAGATCAAAATCCGCTTAAAATTAATTAAAAAGCATTATATCGTACAATTTTTATTTTTTAAGGACTTGATATTCAAAACATTTACTTTTCACTCTTTTGTTACTTAAAATTTACGGATATGACCGAAGAAGAAAAAGTCTAGTTGGAGTTTAAAGGAATCTACATGGCAAGATAAGTAACGCTTGGTGAGTGAGATTTCACAAACCAATATTCGTTCCTACCAGAAAACTTGTACACAAACATGTTTACGTGATACTACTGTTCTTATTATGGCACGAGGGCAAAAGATGATACACAGTACGATTTGTCGCTCTGTCACGTCAATTCAGGGTGATCTCTCGAGGTGGCAAGACGAACCGCTTATTGTGCTCCAATATTTCGACGTTAACGGGTCTGATAACGGCTTCCTATAACTAACAGATTAAGTATAATCAATTATAATCGTCACGAGTTTATTAATACGTTTCTTTGTATGTATTTTGTTAACAGAACTTAATAAAGCTTTTCTATAGGAATCTCAAACGGGTACAGCCATGGAATTTCTAAAACTATTATTAAACATCGATTTGATACTCATCACCGCGATGACCGTTTGTGCCACCAAAAATTCCAAACTTAACATGGCTTCCTCGCCGCACAACATAGGAGGAATTCGGTATCACGTACGCTTAATAACAGATATCCAGGAAAGCAATGTTAATTTTCACGGCGAGTGTAATGTCAGTATGGAAATTCGTACGCTAATATACAGCATAGATGTGCACCTGTTAGACATGAATATAGACGAATCGGCGACGACGTTAAGTTCCGATGCTGAAACCCACAGACCGAGTGAGTTTATTTACGACAAGGAAATGGGTTCAGTGCATCTCTTTTTCGGCAACGGAATAGCAGTCGGGAATTACATTCTAAGCGTAAGATTCAGCAGGAATTCGCCAATAAACGAAAACCATTTTAGCAGAATATCATACACGAGCGTAGAGGGAGGAAGAGTGTGAGTAAACGTTCAAATATTTAAAAAGTATATACTTGCAAAATGTTATGTTATTAGCCGCATTTCTCTTATACTGTTGCCACGAGAAACTGATATCCTTGCTTCACGTAACACATAGATTCGAGATCGATACAGCGCGATAGTTCTGCGCATAAAATTCATTGTCTAAAGTATTGAATTCGCATATTCTTGCATACAACAATTAGATTAGATATTACGTGAAATCGAAAACAAAATCTGCTCCTATTGCGCTGCGTATGTTGTGCTGGTGGACTGCAGATTCGATAGGAAACAAACGCAATTTTTTATATTAAAAATACTACTGCGCCACACAGTTAACGTGATAAACATTACTTTAGGCCACAGAAATTATTTCTAATTGTACAATAGAATACAATAGAAAGTATAATGACTGTGATAGTCTCTCTGCAATTTTAATGCCTGAAAATTGTTTATTCGTTGTGCTTTCGAAATATAGGTGGTTGGGCGTGGTGCCGCTTGTACCCATTTCGGTCACCGGAAGGCCCTTTCCGTGTTGGGACGAGTTGGCACTTAAACAACGTATGAAAATTTCTATAAAGCATAATGATACCTTCAAAGCATTGTCCAATTCGCCTGTGGAAGTGCGGTATACGGACGAGGATGGCATGGTGTGGACAGAGTTCGACCTGACTCACGTAATGTCCACTTGTCTTGTGGCGATTGTGCTGACCGATTTAACTCAGGTTTATGAAAACAGCACAATCACCAACGTTTGGGGCAGACCGCATTTAACTCCGCATATGAGATACGCGCAAAGTGTCGCCGACAAAGTCAGGGAGTACATGGTCGAATATACGAAGAAGTCTAACAATGGAGACCAAGTATCCAAAATACATCACGTCGCAATACCGAATTTCGCACGCAGTGGAATGTCATTTTGGGGATTAGCTCTCTACAAGTAATTTGAAAAGTTATATTAATTAGTGCCAAAATTAATTAGAGCAATTGAAGTAATTGACTTGAAAACTATTCACGATCCCGAAATTTTCGAGCAATACAAAATCTGTATAATCTACATATATGTGTAACCAAATCGATAATAATAATTAGTCAAATAGCACCAATAAGTATATCGCGTACATGGATACGGATTTAATATAACCGCTTTTTGTCGATTACTGCTCGTCAAACTCTTTGTTTTGCTTTTCAATGTTGAAATTTGACCTAAATTGTCTACATTATACATATAAATGATATTGAAATATCCTAATAACAACGACAAGCCGGCGCGAATACATTATAACATATTAAATAATTTTCAGCGAATCAGACATTACTTACAACAGTGAAATAGAACCTCTGTTTCGTCAAAGAAATGTGGCAAAATTGATAGCGCATACAGTATTGCAGCAATGGTTCGGTGGTCTGGCTCCTCCGGCATGGTTACCTTACACGTGGTTAAGCGAAGGATTAAGTTCGTTCTTTCAGTCGTATGTCCTCGACAAGGTTGTTTCACCTTATTTAATCTAGATATCTGACATAAATGAAAAAGGATATAATGATGCGTTGTAATTACAACAATGCAAATAGTTTTTAATTGGCTTCAGTAATACCTAAACTCAATTTGTTCCATTGCATATTATTTTGAAGATAACATTTTTCCCCGTTATGCTTATATCTACTACTGTGTTATATCACACATATACACACGCGCGCGCGCGTGCACACAAATTGCAGGCTTTAGAAATTAAAATATTGAAGTTTTTCTGAAAGTACTAAGAACCACGTTGAAATTAGTTAGTGTCTATAGCTAATGTATCTGTAATAATATCTCTCTTGATACAATTGTAATATAAGGTACTTATTTGTAGATTTATGAAAACTCGCGAATAATAGATTTCCTGGTAATAGAGCAATTACACACATCTTTCGATGATGGTGTCGAATACACAACGAATTCTGTTGTACCACAGATCTCAAACTTTTCTGAAAGAACCGTTACATATAGTTCTCTTTATAATAAAGGTAAGTGTATGTAAATATAATTAAGTAATTGCATGTAAAATATGTTACATGCAAATTATATAAGGGGAAAAAAATGAAATGAGCAGCTCGCAATAGACAAAAATTCATCCGTGACACACATTTATTTAATAATGCTTTTATTATCAAATTTCCTTTACATGTTTATTCACATGTACTTAGTCATTGTCGTTTTTCACCATAGCATCCGCCTTATTACGCATGCTGCAACATATAATTACTGACGAGGTGTTCAAAAATGGTATCATCTTATATTTACAGAAGCAGTGAGTAATATGTAGCAGTATATAAAATTATTTCCTGTTAATTTAACTAAGATATTTTTGTTGTTGAATTTCGCACTATCGTATATAAATTATATACGCATAATTCAGTTAAATAGTAAATTTATAATAATCAAGCCTTTTTAGTTGACATTAACCGACCAGTGTTTTAATACAGAAAATTTATTTCTGGCAACTTAAAGAGATTTCTATGATTTAAATTTATATTCCTTAACATGCCTCAATTTTCTCTCCCTCTTTCTTTCTCTCTTCCTTGCTTTGTGCGTATGTTATTATGTTTTCTTCGTTAATAATATTATTTTGTAAATTTAGTCAGTTTATATCAGTAGCTTCCGATGATTTATGGCTCGCCATGCAAACAGCTGCTCTAAAGAGACCGGATGTCTCATACTTCCGAAAATTCGAAATAAAAGAAGTAATGGATACCTGGATAAAGCAAACACACTATCCTTTACTGACCGTGACACGAGATTATGAAACTGGGCACGTACTAGTTATACAAGAACATTTTGCTGGTCGACAGGTCATCGATGACTCAACCGCTAATAGGTGGTGGATACCTGTGACTTGGACTACACAAACAGATTGCAATTTCTCTAATACTTTGCCCATGGATTGGTTAACCCCTGTGTTTACAGAGGTAAACTTTAATATTAATGCAAATGATTGGATCATAGTTAATGTGCAACAAACTGGCAAGTATTAACCAATGAATTACATGTTTTCGTGTTTACTATCTGTTTAATCGGAATCGCATACAGTATCGTTATTCATAGTCTTTATTCAGAAAAACTTAAGGTAACATAATTTATTTGATAACCCAAAAACACAATTATTTAATTGTGTTTAACAAAATATTAAATGTGTTAGATAATGACTACTCTATTGTCATTGCAATTCAAATAAATTTTATTTATAACTGCGAAATTATTTATTTAGATAAAATTAATTTGAAATTATATAAATCTTCTTAGTAATTTAATTTTTCATTTAATTAAGAATAAAGTGGTTGTATTATATGTATATATTTATATATAGTTTTCTTTATAATATGCGCAACTGTGTATTAGTACACTTTATACTTTGAACACAAGAAAAGATAATTATAAATATCTCGTTATAAATTAATTTGAGAAGATTTTAATTTATATCGATGAAAAATACCTTCTGTTATGCGACAGGATATTACCGTGTCGATTACGATACCAAAAATTGGGAAAAAATTGGAGATTACTTAAATTCTGAAAACTATTCGAAGATACACGTTCTCAATCGTGCTCAAATCATCGATGATGTGTATGCCCTTTTGATTGTAAAACGTGTCAGTATCTCTTTATTCTTGAAAATTACGAATTACTTATCGCGAGAGACAGATTATATAGCATGGCACCCAATGTTCCGAATCTTATCAAAGTTGTTGAAGTATTTTTCACTGCCGGAAAGTACAACATTCAAGGTAAATACACAAAACAATTTCATAAAGACATTTTTAGGAGAGTATATTGATCGTGATGTCTTTAGATAAAAAAAGATTGATATAAGTATTAAATATTAAGAAGAAATTGCTTACATATAATATTTGTTCTAATGAAAGAGTTTTAGTTTTATATATTCGTACATAGATCATCCTTTTTTACAAAGACTAATAAGATATAAATTTTATTTTATTATAATTTTTAGTTACGCATGTCAGAACTGATGGATGGGCTTCTTAAAAGCGTAGGATACGAGGAGCAACCCAACGAAGACGATATTTCACAACACAGAAGACTACAAGTAACAAAGTGGGCATGTCTCGTTGGTAATGCGGAGTGCAAAAGAATGGCTACCGCTAAATTGGAACACTATCTCGCAGATGTTAACGCTCATAAGTAATTATGCTTCTAATTCAGATATAAGTTGCAAGATAATATCGGTAAAAAACATCTCTCGAAGAATTAAATAATCAGACTTCATATTTCTACACGTTGTACTATTACAGACATAGTATTAGATAAAAATACTAAATAAATAAATAATTTCATACTTTAATAACTTTTATTTTATACTTTTATCTTAATACCTCATACTCTCTCATTTTCTAATCTTTTTATTTTAGAGTTCCGGCTTGGTGGCACAGCTGGATGTATTGTTTCGGATTAATGACAGCTAATGAAGCTACGTGGAACAAAACAATGAACTTGTATATACAAAAACGTGATAAAAGTCTTTTACAGCATTTGGCTTGCTCTGAAGATTCCAATATTATCATTAATTATTTAAATATTATAGTAACAAACAGTATTGCATTAAGACACGAAGATTATATTTTTGCACTTGACTCCATTATTATTAACCATGCACGTAACGGTCAGGTGCTTAAGTATATATTAACGAACTTCGAGAGAGTCAAACCCAAGTAATGACATTTTTAAAATAAATATATGTACATAATCTTAAAATTTTATATATTAAGTATTAATATTTTATTTTACTTTTCTAGATCATATACTACGGTCGCAATGTTGGAAAATCTTATTTCAAACGTTCATAGTAAACAGAAACTTGACAAGGTATATTTTATAATCATAAATTCCATATACTTATCGGCTTTTTATTAAATATATCTTTCCCTGTGTATGTGTCCTACATGTATTTCTCACAGTTAGTTAAAACTAGTTGTAAAGTGCGAAGCTAAATTAATTCATATTTTATTAATGTTGAAATATCGAAATAATCTGTTTCAGATCGAACTTTCCGTTACCAATAATTTCTACAAAGAAATTTCAGCAGAAATTCTACCCATTTTACACTCACGTGTACTTCTTCTTGACAACTTAGTAGAAAACTTTCCGGTGTATTCCGGTGTATAAACGAAGAGAAACCAGTTTGACTCAGTATTTCGAACTACTCCAAAATAACGTATGCGATGCAGGGAAAATACGTTTATTAATTTTTACATAAAGTTTAATATTATTTTTACTTATTAGTATGTTTTTAATTTTTTAACTATTAATACAATTTCGAATTTATTGCACAAGAAAAATGTATGTATGTATGTCATGTATCGAGAAATACTTGGTATGCATATAATTACTGCCTTCTGCGATTGGTAGTAAATATTATACATGCGTTATACTTCTCATGCTATCGTTCTACGTTATATATTTGTATTTAACTTTGTAGTTTTAGTGTAAATATTGAATTCGATTATATAAAATTAACAATTGTACATCTTGAACTGGATTTAATTCCGCCCATTAGTTTTGTGTGAAGTTTTGGAATCAGTTGGCTGATTTAATGGCTATAATTTACATAATATGTGTATTTTCTGCAAATTATCTCACATTATAAGATGTGTTCCAAGCAGCCAAGATCTCTCAGATGTAGCAACATATCAGCAAGTATTTTACATACTTCGTCTCCACCGAGATATTTCTGCTTCTTTGCACTTTCCAACGCACCTAGACTGATTATTTCTCGTACCATTACTTCTGATTCGAGACAACCCAGTAACACCGGTAAAAAGTGACATGCGAGAAGAAAACCGAAGAGAGCACCCCTCCTAAAATCATCCAACAAAGCGTTGTACGAATACTTCTCAGTGTCTCGAATGCCAGCGGCCAGCAGATGTTCCATTAGCGCATCGTGGTAAGCGTGCATGATGTCGGAAAATTTTTCTCTTCTCTCCTCATTCGTGCAGCAGAGGCAGAGATACGTGGATAGATCGACAACGGGCGTTGCATAAGTTATAAGCGCGAAATCGACCAGCATCGCGTGATACTGCCCACCCGCAAGTGTCTTGAAGAGAATATTGGGCAGTACAAAATCGCCATGGCACAACGTAGACAAAGGTTCAAGCCGCCCCATTGTCTTCATTAACACTTCGTCAAACCCGTTTGAAAGCAAGGCTTCCATCTTGTCGCAGAAAACTGTATCGTAGCCTTGTCTGCGAAGATATTCCACCGCTCGAGTCCCTTTAACATTCAAAATGGTCTCGTATATGTTCCCCGTCTTCACAAATCGAACCTCTTGTAGTCGCGCTACGATGTCGGAGAATTTTTGCGGTTGCAGTTCCTTCATGACGTATCCTTTGCCGTGAAATCGTCCCAACTCGCGCATCGCCGCCAATGTGTATTCTAAAGGAGCATTGTACGGGTACGAACAAGAATAGTATCCTCGTTCGTTGACGTTCTCTAGGGCGATCACAGAATCGCTGGACGGCTGTTTATCAACGTGGTAATATCTTGCATAAAGATGCCTCTCGTTCGGTTGGACGTACATTTGATAGAATAGAATCTCGTTGTGAAATTGAAGGTCGATGCGAATCATCTGACTAAGTTTCTCTATCAAGGGTCTCTTCAGCACCACGGACAGTTCCTCGTGCTGATCGTTTGTCTTATTCTTAAATTGCAGACGTACATAATACATGGCGGTTGCAATAAAATTGACAGTCTTGGATAACTCGTATCGAGCTTTGTCAACGTCCAGTCCAAGATTCTCGATGATCCTGGCCATCACTTCGTCGATCCATCTCTGAGAATCTTCAGCGTGGGACATTTTACTTGAATACGCGACTAGTTATGACAAAATAATTTAGAATACTGATTTGGGCTGCGAGTTCTTGCCTCGACGGCTCGAACAGTACTAACATAAAGTGGCTTCAGTGAAATCCATTAAGAGGCTTGCACATAGATAAGTTTTTCTACTATTTATACTTACCGGCGTTCGCTTGAGAATAATTTGTACTGCCGATACAAGAATGAGTTAACAAAAATTTATCTCTTGCATTATAAGTACAGTTTTTGCATAGATAGTGCGTCGTAAAGTAACGAGAACAGTATAGTTCATATCGAATCTGTTACAGCTAAGGATTTTTAAGGTATTAACGTGTATTTTAATGTTATAGTGTAAAATTTACGTGATCGATTAATGTATAATAGGATTTTGTAACGTAATAAGAAGTATTCAAACCGATACCAATATTTATAGTGGAAACAATCATATCTCTGCTCTTGAGCTTTTACGAGCAATATTTGGGGACGTTTCGTTACGTCTGTACCAGTGCCTTCTAAATTCAGTATCTAATTCTCCGCAAGAAAGGACGGTTATAAGATGGCACAGCAGGAAAAAGCCAGGGTTGGGAAGTAACGCGTTACTTGTAACGCCGTTACCATTTTCGTTACTTTTTTTCGGTAATGATCGTTACTTTTTTATGTCTGTAACGGTAATGGTAACGTCGTTACATTTTTACAGTAACGGTAACGAATTCAGCCGTTACTTTTATCGTTACTTTAATTCCCTATTATCTTTTATATCTGTTCAATAGATCGTGAGCTGGTCGCGCGCACTATTCTTGATTGGACTAAAATATTCCGATATTGGACGCTGGAAGTCAATATGTCACATGAGAATGCGCTTTAAACATTTATCGATGTCTTGATTCTGGGGCCCGATTCTTGAATTCATTCGAAGAAGAAACGTATACGAAAATTCTGCTCTGACAGAAAAGTTGAAAGTCGATTGGTCAAAAGCCACGCGTATATCCAATCAACTTGCAACTTTTCTGTAAGAGCAGAATTTTCGCATATGTTTCTCCTTCGTACAAATTCAAGAATCGAGCTCCTGGGCCCCGATTCTTGAATTCATTCGAAGAAGAAACGTATACGAAAATTATGCTCTGACAGAAAAGTTGAAAGTCGATTGGCTATTCGCATGGCTTTAACCAATCGACTTTCAACTTTTCTGTAAGAGCAGAATTTTCGCATACGCTTCTCCTTCGAATAAATTCAAGAATCGAGCCCCTGTATGCTCGATGACTTGCTATATAGAAACTAGTTTAAAGTTTTAAGTTTTAATATTGATTATTAAATAATAATAATAATGTAATTTTACAATTAACATCTTACTTTAGCATTTCAACAAAGTAACGAAAAAGGTAACGAATCGTTACTTTCTAAGTAACGGTAACGGTAACGCGTTACTTTTTAAAATCAGTAACGAGTAACGGTAACGAGTTACTTTTTACAAAAAGTAACGGTAACGGTAACGCGTTAGTTTTTTAAGGTAACGTTCCCAACCTTGGAAAAAGCTAATTAAGTGGCTTGAGCAGTTCTATAATTGCATAGTGAAGTGTTCGAGATGTGCAAATTATGGTTACAAATAGTTTAAACTATTTGTAACCATAAATAGTTTAAACTATTTGTAACCATAAATTGTTTTGCACATCTCGAACACTTCATTATGCAATTATGGAATTGCTCAAGCCACTTAGCTTTTTCCTGCTGTGTCATCTTTATAACCGTCCTTTCTTGCGGAGAATTAGATACTGAATTTAGAAGGCACTGGTACAGACGTAACGAAACGTCCCCAAATATTGCTCGTAAAAGGTTTTTGAAGGAACGTGCCCAAACCTCTTATAACACCTCTCTCTATATCCACTTCGCTATGTGGCGATCGAACGAAAAACCAACAACGTTTTTGTTTGGTTTTGAACCCGTCTTCGGATTACCAGACCAGCGCACAATTCTCTGCGCCACAATCGCCGAGCCACAATAACCACGAGTTATTCTTAACGAGTTAATTACTTGCTTTACAGTTATTGCAAAATATATATATAAATAAATCTTTGAAATAAACATTCCTTCTATTTTACACAAATATAATATATGCATTTGGCATTATATAAAGCATTCACCTATGAACTAAGTGTTTCGTTACCTGCTTGTGGTCTCTTTGACATAAGTTTATTACAAAATGTTAACTTAAAATTTTTGAAGCGAATTGTATCGAGCAAATACGTATTGTAGATCTCACTACTGCCAGCCACAGCAAAACACGATCGGCTATACAAGAAAAGTATAATTTACTCGACCAAGCAAAATAACACTAATATAATTCCAATTATAATCACGGAAATTTATCTATAGCTTAATAATTTAATATACTTATTAAAAATTTTTTTATCTACAAATAACTAAAAAAAATCTTTATTTAATCTTCCATTGTTTTTATTTTATTCGAAATCTCGTGTCAAGTATGAAACAGAAATGGTCAAAATGTAGAACAGAAATTTGTACAGAAAAAGGTCGATAATATCGAATATCGATAAACTCTCAATCTCGAAACTCTCCCTTTCTGTTATTGTTGGCAATCGATATTCTCGCCACACGGCGAGAATGTGATCTGTCAAATGCGAGTGTTTTTTCACGCCACTTCCGACCGCCAGCGAGATCGTACGTCGCGGATCCCGCGGTTGCAACGAACGCGAGCAAGAGAGGACCGAGCCGAGCGTCTAATTAAATCGTGATTATACGCGCGAGATGCGTCGGTGGCGTGCGGCACGCGCGATCAAACGAGACTTGTTGCGACGGAAAATAGGTTATGATCCGAACGTCGGCAAATAGAGCGACGATCTCCGCTGCGGGTCGCGCGTTACTCCCCCCGTCCGCGTTGTAGGTGTCAATGGCTCGACCCTCCGTATCGGCGCAATGCGACCTGGTCGCGTCTTACATGGACGGGGTCCACGTCAAGATCGCGGAGGCCTACAAACCACCGAGGAAGATTGGCCTACCCGCGGCGTACAACAACCGTTTACCGGACGTGTCGAAGCTGGTGTACGACTTCAGCTTGGAGAGATCGGTACTCGAGAAGGTGAGGCGCGATCGTTCACGTACTTGGATGTTTAATGCACGCCGACGGTCTCGACAGTCTCCGTGTGGACTTGTCCCTGGCCTGATTAACGTTACTTAATTAATTTGCCGTCAGATATGCGAGTGGCGCAAGGCTAGACAGGCCTGCAGCAAAGCGCGCCAGGTTCGACTGAAGGAGAAGAGGAAGAAGGAGAGAGAGGAGACTCCTCCGTCGCCACCGCCGCTGGACTGCGCCAAGCAGCTACCCGTCAATGCGCCGCCCGCCCCGGAAACGACAATACTCACGCCGCAGCCGCTGTCGCCTCCGGCGAGCGACCTTCAGGATCACGCGAAGACGAACGGGGGCCTGGACTATGCGGACTTCGACAACGACACGAGCAGCCCGTTCGATAATATGGAATTGAAAACCATCAACGACATGGAGGAATTGGCGCAGGTTAACGAAACGCCCCGTCGCGCATCCGGACTTCCTGAACGAGCAATATTGTCTCACGCTTAGTATCTTTTTCAATGCAGGTTTTACAACCCAGATCGCAGTGGGTGCCTGCGGGGAAACTGGAGAATATTATAACTGAACTAACGATTGACGATACGTCCGAGGCTTGTAAGGAGGAGGAGGCGGATACGGAGAGCCAAGCGGACGACGAAGCCGACGCGGACGCGCCCAGCGTCGAGAATCACCGTAGCGTTTCGGCGATAATGCAGGAACTCCAAAAGGAATTGGAACGGCCTGTTATGGAGGTGACGTAACACTCTTTCTTCCTTGCCGTGTAACATATGACTGACTCGATCAATCTCTTGCGACAGAATTGGAAGCCGTGGCCGGATCTGGAGAGTCCAGACAGCGACTCGCACGCAACCGCGAGGCACGACGACCCGGCGTCGTCGAATCACGCGCAACCGCCGGCAGATTTGTTATCGGGCATGACGGAGAACGATCTAAAATTAGTCAAGCAACTGGGCGACATGGGGTTTCCGAAATGCAGGGCGGCACGTGCGGTGCTGGAGCTAGGTCGGGCGGACGAGAAGAAGATCGTGGAGTACCTGTTGGCCGTTCAATCCTTAGAGGAGACTGGCGTCCCGAGTGATTATGCCGAGACAGCGCTGACGCTCGCGCAGCACGATCATTCCAAGGCCAAGGTCTACTGCGAGAATTTGTGCACGTTGAAGGACCTAGGGTTTCCCGAAGACGAGGCTTTCGCGGCGTTAGTAAAGTGTAATTTCGATCGCGACAAAGCGTTAGATCTTCTGATCGCTTGAGTGGACGATTGAGTCACCATCTACGAAGTGAGAGGCCGCTGAATATTTTCCTTTGTGACTCAATTTCAATGTGAACATTGCATAATAGAGAATTGAAATTTTTATATGCGCGGAAGGTAGGTACCTCGAGTCACGATTACAAACGTATATTTTAATAAAAATGAAAGATAATGTTATTAGTGAGACTAGTCTTGAATAATGACACCTCAAGGAAGCTACAGCGAGTATGGTATTGTTAACAATTTAACTCGATAATCCGTCATTGTGTCGTGGAATTTGTTCATTGAACTTCTACTGGGCATTATTGAACAGTCGCTATTGGTAGCCGCGACGCTACGAAATAAATTGCAATTATAACAAGCTGAAGGTTTAATTTACAAACTACTGTCACAAGATTTCAGTTGAACGCGCAAGAATTCTTTATTCTCCTGGTGTCTATGTACAAAAGTGGATTAATTAGATACCTAGTAGGAAGGGCTCATCAATTGATGCGGTACCAATCACGAGTATTAGTCGCGCTCGAGTGCGCGAACTCAATGGCGCAACTGTAAATCGAAAGAAAACTCGTCAACTGAATTATATTCAGGTACTACACGATTATTTTGTACGTTACCTTCTGCTACAACATAGAGCGATCGTTATTGTGCACCATATTGTGGGGTCATAGACATCGATAATGATCCATGCTTCCGTGAATATCGGCTGCTGACATTGAGAATTCACGCAGATACTAGTGGGTCCGTTCGTTAGTAAATTGTACAGAGTGTAGTTCGCAGACAATGTAAGGTCCAGTTTGGTATTTTTAAGAAGCGGTTCGTAGAGTACCGTTACACAGTTATTTTTGAGAATGTCGAGCGTGTGCTTATACCTGAAAGGTACTTGCGTTAAACTTACGAGATACTTACACCTTTGCAAAAGAAAAAGAAAAACGCGATTCCTGTTTGCATGGTTCCTCAATTACCTCTCGGCATAAACTTTTCTCAGCGCCAATTCCCACAGGGAGCAAGTCACGTTCTCGCGGACCTCGTGAACCTTTAGCAACTGCCGTGGTAATTCGATTATGGTATCGTGATTCATCGGAAGATCCTTCGTCTTTATGTACAATTTTATATTTGTGCTTAACACATTTGTGTCATAATGCGTCTTAAAACATCTGTGATTATATATACATATACACATAGATTGTAAATTTACTTTATATACATACTCGAAAGTAAAGTAACAGTTGTTCAGGATTTATTTTTTTTTAATTCGCGCGTAACTTATTCCTCGTTGACGTCTCTAACGGGCTTACCCGGATGCCAAAACGAAGTCTCTGTCGTAGGTGTCTGGGGACAGTCTCATTTCTAGAAGTTGTTGTAGAAGCGGGTACGACATGTAATTCAAGTATTCATTTCCATCGAATCGAATACAGGGATTCGATAAGAATCCGTTCAATGGCAAATATGTCAACCTGGAAGAGCATTCGTCAGGGATGTAGCTTAACTGGTTTGTGGCAAAGTCTACAACTCGATCTAATAAGCAGAATATTTATTTTGCAAAAGGCTGGCGCAAATAACCTGTTTGAACACACAGAGATCACGACGAGCTCAGGGGCCAGGGTCAATCTGTTGGGCAATTCCCTCAGTTGATTCTTATCCGCGTACAGCTCTTTAAGCTTTGGGAGAGAGCCAACCCATTCCGGCAATGCGACAATCTGGTTGCCCGAGAGACACAGCATCTCCAGATTATTCAGTTGGCCTAATTCTGTTTTCGTTTCGTTCACGTGAGTCAATAAATCCCTCTTTTCGTAATGGCCAGACGATGACGTCGGTCAATCTCTGTGAACTTACCCACCGGCAGCCTCTTTATGGAATTGTTGTTCAAGAATAAGAATTTCAGATTGCTCAGACTGCCGAGGCAGGCAGGTATCAGCTGCAAATTGTTGGCGCTCAGGTCCAACACCATCAACTGGCTCATCTCGCCGAATTGCGCGGGCAACTGTTCAATCTGATTGCCGTACAGGTACAAGTTAGTCACGTTGAACAGCTCCGCGATCCAGGGCGGCAGAGTGGTGAGCTTGTTCCACTTGAGGTATATCTCTTGGAGGTGAGCGCCGTGCAGTCTTATCACCTCCGGCAGCTCCGCGAGACCCCGGTAGTTCCAGTGGAGTATGTTCTTGTGCTGGACCTCGTTCGCCATCTCTACGGGATCTGGGTCCATGTTCGAAACACAGGATTAGTCGGAGCGGCTCCGGGACGCGCCGGAGCCGCTGGGCAGACTGTCAACATCGGGATCGTTGGGGAAATCTGAGGACGGGCAGCGGAGGCAGGTCCAAAATAGCTCCGCCCGCTCTCTAAATCTGTATTAATAAACTTTCGCGAGGGTGGTAGGGCGAAGGCTTTACGGGGGCGCACGGTCGCCGTGCCGGAAAGGGAGCAAATTAACACTTTGACGCTTTCGCTCACCCATGACGAGCTGTATTGTTAGTCGGGACTGTGGAGGGACAATGTTAGTTATCTTAATTCGTCTGACGCGTTAGACGAACGGAGCGGACTCGACTGTAGTGTGGGAGTGTATATACTTTCTCGTGTCAATCCTGCGGCAGAAAATCCAGTACGGATGCATCTTATTTCACGTTATCCTTTTGTTTCCTTCAGTCTCTTGTCTACGCCAGCGGCACATCCCTTTCACGTATTTGTGAAATTCCTACGTGCATTGTGCGCACGATCAGTGACACGATTGCGTGTCTGACGGAATTGACCAATCGCAGTCAATTATACTTACGATTACGACTTTGCGACTCGCATTGTAGACCCCGCAATATAAGTAGTTCATACGCTGAACGGCATTTGTCATAAATGACGATACTTCCATGTAACGTGAAAAAAATTAGTATTGGAATAGTAGATACAATTCCCATACGGCACCGAAAGATTGCAGAAACATTGCATACACCTTTCACCGCAACGTTGTAACGTTGCATGGAGCTTGCGAAATGTTTCAGCAACGTTGTTGCAAGCTTGAAGCAACATTGAAATGTCCTCCCTCAGACGTGTTACAATGTAACATTGCAGTAATGGCGCGGTGCAATGTATTTGTAATATTGATTTCATTATACGTTATTTATATAAATATGCAGGATTCTTATGATTTTAATAGGTTGTTCGGGAAGTTCGTTTTAAATTTCCTATATAAATGTATTTATAATAGATAGGAAATTAGAAACAAACTTTCCGAACAACGTAATAAATAAAATTTGCGAATATAAAGACACCCAAGAGATTTTCTTATCGCTCTTGGATGTCTATTATATTGTATATTCTCAAACTTTATCTATTAAAATCTGAAGTACCCTACCGATACCATGCAGTAATATCGGGAATCACGAGACTATTAGGCGTTGCTATTCATGCTATTAGGCTGCGTTTGGGATGCATGAGAAATAATATAAATTTGAAAGATCTAAATAATATTATAATACGTTACAAATATATTTTGCAAACTTTATAATATTTCTGCAAGGTACACTGAAACGTTGTTGGCGAAATATTACAATTGAATGTCTCTGAACCGTCTGTGCAATATTACATTGTAATTTGCAATGTTGCAATGTATCTGAAAGCTTGTTGCTGTATGGGAACATTCCATTAGCATCCTTTACATTACGAGAGTGATACCCAATCTTTACGTCGACAGAGTAGAAATAGTTAAGCCTCGTCTACATAGAAGTCGTAAAGTCGTAGTCGTAAGAATAGTCGGCTATGATTGGTTAATTCTTATGTGTCTGACTGAATTGACCAGATACAGCCGATTATTCTTACGACTGCGACTCTCATTGTAGACTCCGCATAATTAGTAGGTCCACTCTCCGCCGACCTCTTTGATCTTTGCGGTTCCGTGTTATTCATCACTTGTTATTCTGTCGAACTGTATGATTCACTTTGGCTCCTTGACGAAGAATGTAATATATTTCTATCGAGATAGATTATATTATATTTTAATCGAAATGGATTATACAACAGCAATTGACACAAGGTAAATATCTCAATTAAATCCTACAAGAGAGAAACTTGAGAGCAGCCACACCGGCGTTTTACTTGATATCTTTTCACTATTTTGTGCGCCCCCCTTTGCCCATTTTTACTTTTGGAACTGTTTTTTTTATGCATTTTCTGTTACTGCCGCCAAGAAAGTTCCCGTTTTACGCGTGTCCGTGCTACGTCTATTTTTCAATATTGTGCAGTATATTTCAAAATTACGTTAACATAAATTATCTACATGATGTTTACCTCAACTTTTCTCAAGTAGACAATGTAAATGTAAATTAGATGTCGGAATACATAGCACAGACATGCAACAAGTGCAAATTTGTTCGGCAGAGGCAACAAATGTGTAATAAAATAGTTCCAAAAATAAAAATAGGCGTAAGGGCGCGCAAGACAGACTCCTGAAACAGTATACAGTAAAACGATTATGTATCGAATGGATATTTATTGTTCAGTTGCTGAACGGCATTTGTCATAATAAAATAAAATATTAATAAATAAATAATAAATAAAAATATTAAAGCATTCCGATAAAAATAAAATCTAAAAAACAGAACATGGAAACGTGTCTCCATTAGTCCATTCATTACCAAATTGATAGAATATTTTAAGTTTGAGTTTCCTTACCGAGAGAGATTTGAACACATGACTATGCCTTCGCTGGGTGCACGAAAATAAGATATAAAAAAATTAAAAACCTGTTTTTGGTGGTGGTATTTGGTGGCCATGACACCCACGGCACCTTCCGTGTACACGCCTATCTTAATAAATTTTGCTTTAACGTTATTTGTAGTGACACAGGAAAAAGTTCTCACCAGAACGAATTTGAACATAAACAAGAATATCAGGATAAAGATGATCTGTCCTCGAAGCAACAACATATAAATCATCATTCAGTAAATTTCAAAAATGCAAAGTGTATAGAAGACATTGAGTCTTATGTGGAATCTAAGAAGGAACCATGTAACGGTTTTGTTGTATTTCCTGTAAAGTATTTGAAGAAGTTAATTTCTCATAATAATATTATAATATAATTTTATGTATTAAAATTTTATAATTTATCTTTGCAGGACGAACTACTTCTATTAATACTAGAAAAATTAGACGTGAGGTCACTATGCCGTATCAGTTGTGTGAACAAATGCATCAATGATTTAACAAATAAGTTGTTCTATAAATTATTGAAATTTCGTAATAAATGCTCACACAAGTATATGCATATCATTAATAACAATTTTGCATCCAGATGTAAATATTTACGAGAGGTGCATTTTACCTGTGTAGCTGACAGTCATTTTAGTTCCCATTTTGTAAACTTTCTTGAGATTTGCGGCAGCGGTTTAACACACTTACGATTAATACTATGTAAGATTGACGATTTTGCACTACATAAAATTTCAACGATATGCAAAAATTTGAGAGGTACATAAAAAAATATTATTAACTTTACGAGTAGATTGCATGACTAAGACATGTGTATATTGTATTTTTTTTTAGTATTAAATCTTGCTTTTCGATTTGGTGGGAGCAATAAAGGATTCTTGCATCTAAAAAACCTTGAATTTCTAGAGCACTTAAATCTTAAACGGACATTTATAAAGATTGAATATGTTGTTAAAATATTAGAAAAAACTCATCGATTACGAAGCTTAATGTTGGACGAAACGCCACCATTAAAAATAAACATACTTGCAGTACAGTTAAAAGATTTGTGTCCCAACTTAGAAATGTTATCTTTTACTGGCTTTATTACATCGGACGGTATTGATGCTCTTGCTGAATGTAAAAATTTACAAAAAATTCAGATTGGGAACATTACATACCGGTATGTGCAAAATTTTTTTGTAGTACGTATCATATTCTTTGTTACAATTTTGTATGTTTACATCTTTTATAAGCATCATAAAATAGTTACGATATTTTCGTCTATGCGAGAACCGTAATAATAATATGACTTATAGTTTCAGTTACGAATGTGAGAAAGGCGCAATCGATAAGCATCACTTGTATAAATTAGTCTCAAGACTTTGCTTAGAAAACGATACAAATAAAAAGTGCGAGTGACAATATTTTATTATAAAACAAGTATGCTTTTGTATTATGGCATGCACTAAATTTGCAATTCTCGAGCAGTATTCTAAACTGCAAACGATATACATATTTACTTACGAATTGGATCTTGATATTAGACACTTTGTTGTTCCCTTGAAGTAAAAATATCCACAGGTTTGTCTGTACAATCTAGCTATTTTGAACGTTTTTGACTTCAGGTAGATTATGAATAAGCATTCATAAACACGCTTGATTTTCTAATATTGTCTGTAAATGAAAATTTTTTATTTTAAAAGAAAATAAACAGTATTCTGAGAAAAAGTTTAAAAAAACGTCGCGTGTACGTCTTACTGGAAAAATAATATATTTGTTTTAATTTTCGATTTTTATTCAAATCTAATTTTCTATAAAAAGAATGTAAAGTTGTATCACATATAAAAAGGTATAGATACCGTAATGTAAAGGTCGATGATTCTTTGCCTTACATCTCCGGTTTCGTTTCTCTTATACCATCCATCCAGATATTCCTATATCCATAATTACATATTTCTTGAAAACTGGATTTATCTGTAAGTTTATAACTTTTCGTTATACAACATTTTCCATCAATTGGTTTGTCCTGTATAGCTGAACTGGCTGCACTGGCGTCCAGTTCAGAGTTGATCTTTTCCTGTCGTCTAATAATGGAGGGAAAACGTGAATTTTGAACTAATGCAGGCAGTTCACTTGTAAAGTACAGACTGAGCGTGCCAGTACATGAAACGCGGAAATTCGAAAACATGGAAGATAAAATGTTAAACAAGACAAAACATGGAAGAAAAAATGTTAAATAAGACTCTGTTAAACAAGATCCATTGCCGAGAACGATTTGGCTCAGGCGCATAAAGAATTGGAAAATATATTATATATTACATGGTTTTCAGTAAAATGTTGTCGTATCTTATTAAAATATAATATTTACAAAAATTTTTATTTCAAATAAATGGTTTATAAATATGTTTTCATCGCAGAACTCTCTCTCTCTCTCTCTTGCGTGTCATTTATGTACAAATAAAATAGATACATTCTCTCGCACATTCATCTTTTTCTTTTTCCTTTTTTTTTACAAAATGATGCAAATTCTAGTATGTAAAATATTTTTATTCTATTAGCTCTATGTCATGACAATATGCAACTCGCATTTTCTGTTTTCTTTTTTTTTAAGATAAGTTTAAACATCATCTGATAAGTTACACGGTTGAAATATGTCTCGTAATTCCACAATGTACATGATACATTAATAATTCATGAATAACAAAAGAGATGTTATAACGAACACTATATATACTATTGTATATACAAGATATTATGTTTGAAGAAATCTTTTGGAAATCAAGTGCATTTTATAATTTCGTTTTTTATATATCATAAATAATTGATCTTCTGTTGAGGAGTAACTTTTTAATTAGCTTTCATATAATTTCACTTCGACAATGTTTATATTAAAAGTAAAGTAAATTTTCTGTTCGAAATGTAACGGATATATGTGATAGGAAATTATTCTCCAACTAAATACTGGAATGTGAGTTACATATATGATTTTGTATCATAACTATTTGCTACAAGTACTATGCCTTTTGATGATCGATGATCAAATTATGATCAACCACGTCTGATATTTTAAAAGTCACTCCTCAACTATGAATGTTGTCATTTAAGCTGTAGCTAGGTCCCGACTGCCATTTTTATCTTACTTTAATATGTACATATGAAACATAGTGATCAGCGTATAATGTTGATTAAAATGCATTCAGATATCTAGTACAATTGGTTTTAAAGAATTTGCAATGCTCCCCAGTCTGTTTAAAAAAATACGTGTTTAAATAATTCAAATATATTCCCAACTTTTTTCGCTAGCTTTACATAAGACAAAATTAACAAACAGCGAAATTTATCTATCTCGTATATTAGTATGCAATTCTCAAAATTATGAGCTATGAATAAAAATGATAATGTAATATGCAACTTGATGATAGTAACTTTGATATATATATAAAAATATGATATAATATATATATATATATATATATTAATTTTATCTTATGTTGAGCTTTATTGTATATTGCCTTATTTTTATATAACATATGTGAGTACGTGTACGTCATGTGCTGTGTGTATCAATCTTTTCGCTTCTTATTTAAAGAGGAATTAGCTTATATGCATGTGTATTTACTTCACAATTTTCTTTCTTTGCACGACTGATGAACTTTCTTATCGCAAACTACCACCAGATAGGTATGAGATCACGCAATTACATACTGTGAAAGTATATTCTATTGTTAACTATTGTGAAAGGGACTGACTGACTGAGAGAATGAGAAAGATGTAGGCTATTTGCATTTAAATGTGATTACAAATAACAATTGATGGATTCATAGATGCTCCAGAGGAGCCCACCCTAGTAGTACAGTGCATTAGCTAAACACTGGCTCGATACAACGAAATATTGAGCCAATGTTTAACCAATGTTTGGTCAATGCACTATGCTATTAGGGCACGTACACGCATGTACCCACGAACACACAATTGTACGTAAAAATAAAAAATATCCTAAGTATATTTAGTAATTTTGTACTAATGTTTCGTATGCATTAATGAGTGTGATTAACACATTTAATTATACTTGCGTAAATAGAATATTTCGAGATTTGTTGTAATATCGATATTATCAATATTACAAATGTGATTCAACAGAAATATTTTTAGATGTAACTTACAAGTCTTTGACATAAGATACCTTTTATACGTAAAAAAATAAGTTTTATGTGATACATACAATAACTAGGATCGGATTTAACCGTTTGCTGCCTATAGATACATAAATAGTAAAAAGAAACCAGTTTAAACGCTTTCGTCTTTTTAATTGACATAATCCAAATTGTGGCTAATACTAGGAGAGAAAAGAATGTTCAACTAAAGAAAGCAAAGATTATTAAACATACACAATACTCATTCATTTTTTGAAATATGATATAATAAAATTATAAATGTGAGTCACAAAATGAACGGAACTCGATTCTCACAATACAGAAAAAGAATTTCTCTTTAATATAAAACGTTTCGACCCTTCTTCGGGTCTTCCTCAGTAAGACTCGTTTAGAACGAATAGGGTTTAACGTAGGAGGTCAGAGCACCATGTGATTTCAGAATCATCTCTCTATATGTGTTAATATCAGTAGATCTCTAAATGGTCCCAGACATGAAGAGGACTGAATAACACATTTCGAGAGAAGGATGAGTCCGTAACAACGATGTTAAAACGACTGTGCCTTTTTTTCTGTATTGTGAGAACCGAGTTCCGTTCATTTTGTGGCTCACATTGGTACTTCTCCTTTCTACATATTTTCTTTTTGGGAGCCTTCACAACTTTTTGGAATAATAAAATTATATTTATCAATATTCTTTATTAAAGACAATTTTGAGAAAAATTTCTGTTCTAGGCCGACTTCTATAGTGCCTACTGATAAATCCAACCCTGATAATAACGCTCGATCGAAATCGTTTTCAACTTAAAATTTTAGGCAAATAAACATTTCATGTTTATCTAAATACATCTGCGACTTCCTATGAGATAAAATAAACAATTTTTATAATCCGTATTACGTATAGACCTCACTCTTCGCGTTTATCATTTAGACTTTTTGTTAGTATGTACGGTTCACTTAGAGTATTATTTCGATGCAATGCTAAATTGTAGGATAATTTAACAGATCGCTGTTCCACACACTTTGCGTTTTACACTTAGAGATTGTAAAAACCAGTATGCAAAATAGATAACGATCTTTTTGTCATTGTATGTACAACTGGCAAGTTGAACGAGATACTTTTTATGCGTAAATAAAATCATCGACGTTGAAAGCTGTAAGCTTAATTCAACTCATTCTCATAAGTAATTTGTGTATTTGCAGTCTCAGAAAGTTTATTTATAATTATATTATATATTATATTTATAATTATATATATGTTATATTATAAATTTTCAAATTGTCGAACAAACAGAAAAATATCATTTAACATACATGCATCGATCAAAAGTATACTCCAATATATGTGTATCCGGGAAATACATATATAAAATTGGGCAATCAGTATATTATATACAGGATGTTTCTTAAAGATCATTCACTAATTACACACAGCGCCATTTCTTATGAAAAATCAAGTTGAAAAGTCCTGAACTATTTTTTAACCAAGGTAATTGTATCGCGATAGTACTATCAAAAAGTATGTCCTACAATCGAAAAAAAGTTGAATATTTCCTTGATTGCTTGTGCAAACTTTCGTTGATATGGGGTTTGTTTTCTGTTCCTGCACTGGTGAACTAGTGCAGTAAGCTAGAATGAGAAAAAATATGCTTGTCTTACTCCAATTTATTGCACTAGTTCACTAGTGTAGGAACAGAAAACAAGCCTATTGTTTAGAGACAGTAAACTTAGACTACGCGCGCGCGTGTACATGCGCACATACACACACATAGAAAAGTGATTTAAAAAACATCCTGTATACAGAATATAAACGAAACATATTCATGTATTAATAAACTGGAATCGTCATAATATACAATTAATACGCAAGAAATGTTCTCATGTTCAATGAACTTGCCTTTTGTACTGTACAATTAAACAATGTTCAGGTTACGAGTGTTCGCATATTCTTAGAAGCGCTAACGCATATAACGCATTATATATAACAAAATAGTAGATGCTAAATCATAACAGTGATTAATCTTACAGGCAAAATTGACTGTCGCCATGATTAAGCATCCAATTAAATATATATACTTAATAATTTGTATTTTTGTGTTGTATTGAGATATTTACAAATATTGAAATGGTAAATCATACGCAAAACTGCCATTCTTTTAGACACATTTCTCTAAACTAATTTATCCTTGCAAATTCGTAATGTTTTATGCTTTTGATTCTCACAATTGTTTCTTTTAATGGTTCTAATTGAGCTATTTACATAATATGTCTTTCTCTATCTCGAGACGTGTATCCTTCACACTTGCATAATCACTGGTACGGTACAGTTCTCCGCGATGTGTCCGTTTATATACTTTGTCACACGTCGATCTGTATATCACTATCCTCCGCTTCACTTTCAGTACTTACCATAGCATCTTCTCCCACTAACAAGGCAGCAGGTAAGTCCTGCGGTACATTGTCAATGTCCAATCTCGGGGTAGAATACACATTTAACACTTGTATCGTTGTAGGAGACGTCGAGAGACACTGCGGCACGGATCCCAGGGGATCCCCGCCTAGCGGGTCGCAATCCAAGGAAGTGGAGAGTTGTAATTGTAAATTATGGAGTTCAGGTATATGTGGACGGATCTAAAATACGTAACAGTTTAGAATTGAAGGTGCAACGTGCCTCGGCGAGACGAGTAGAGACCAATACCTTCAATCCATCTGCCATGTGAGGATTTCTGCAACCTCTACATCTACAGTCCGCGCAAGGCTTACTTTCGACGTAACAAGGACACCTTTGACCGCAACAGGTAAGTTTCCCAGGTATCGCGGTGGCATTACCACATCTGCAGCCTTTCCTTTTACTTCTGGCAGAACTTGACCTTGGCTTCTTAAAACTGCCCGAAGACTGTTCGCAACAAAGTGAATCACATTACTGCCGGCACACCCAAGGATGCGCCAGTACAAGTATCACAGATCAATGCAGAAGTAGTCCAGATTAGAAGGCTAGAACGCCTGTCAATGGCAAACGTGACGCACGTCTGCATTGATCTTTCTTATGGGACCTAGACGAACGTAAGTCAAGACCTTTCTAAAACTAGTATTAGTATACAAATAAATATGTACAGAGGTTAATTGCTCAACTATAATTGTTAATGGATGTAAGTCGGAAAAATTATTGTGTACCTTACAAGAGGTGTTAACAAGGGCGGACTCTTTAAGCATTTAAATAAAGATTACAGTGCACAATGTAAGTCCTGTAAGGCATAAGATTAACCGAATATCTATTGAAATTACTTTGCTGCTCTTTGAAGATTTTTTCTCAGAAGGGGTCCCATATTTAAGGTGGGAAGACGGAATGCATTTTACCCCTCCTACAGAGCCGTGCTGGCTCCCGTCTGTCTCCTGCTGCCCCGTGTTTTCCGTGTCTTCCGTAGCTGCCGCTTTCCGTTTTATCGTAATTTTGTTACCAGACCCGGCGTACATCACAGAATATATGGAGGATCCGTTCGATACCGTGCGAATCGTTGGCGACTCTAATTTGACAGCAAAAGGTGAGGATTATTCGTGTGTCATTCGTGCTACATCAATGCGCTCGTACGCGCTTGTTTATTCGCAGGAGCTTGCGACAACAGCGTGCTCCGAGGAAACGTGTCTGTTCTCCTACATACCGGGTATACTCTGGGCCATGGCCTCGGTGGTCTGAATGTTGTTCCCCTGCGTCTGAGTGGAGGTGGTGCTGGTGTAGACGCACGGTAGGATACTGTACGCGGATTTGGACAGGCCGGCGTTGCTCTTGAACTCGTCCTTGAAGCCCGCGCCTTCCTGGATGAGCTCCATGAGGCTGGTGGCGCCGACGGTGAACGGCGCGCCATTGGCGGTGGAGTTGGGCGCGGAGATGACGGCGAGGAGGGTGCGGTAGATGCCGGAGCTGGTCAGGTACTCGCACAGCTTCTTGTAGCACTGCAGCAGTATCCGCAGCTGCACGTTCTCCACGTACTTGTCGTAGTCCTTGCACCAGCCGCACGACGGCTTCAGCTTCTTGCGGCCGCCGCGGCAGCCGCGGCACACGTGATGCTGACAGTTGGTCTCGGTCGGCGTGTGCGGCTCGATCAGCAGGTTCGAGCAGACGGTGCAGCCGAGGCTTTGCCTCAGGTACGGCACCAGCCTGTAGAGATCCGTCCAGGAGTTGGAGTCCTCGGCGTCCGCCTGCAACACCAGCCGACACGTCGACACGTACAGGCTCGTCGGGTTCATCGCGACGCGCGCCGCACCGCGCCCGCACTCATGCGATCTTCTTCGCCTTGCTCTCTCTTCAAGCCGGCCCTTGCCCGAGGCCGCGAAATATTCAAGCCCCGTGCGAACCTTTACAGGCCACCGCCGCCGCCGCCGCCGTACGCTCCGCGCGTAACCATCCTCCTCGCGCACACAAACAAAACACACGCCATGTTTCGTCGGCGACGTCTCCGCTTCCCCCGCGTCCCCACAGAGGGCGCGCCGTGTATCTTTCTCGCGGCGCCGCGCGTGCTGACCGCCGTATCGGGGGGTCAATTCTGTCTCATCTCTTTTACCGACACACTCCAATATCATTCGAATGTGTCGGGACAATGCCGCTCACTTTTAAGGATGTATCTGAGATACAATCATTGACAAAAATCCCCCAAATTCGAAAAACTGGCATATCTACGCTAAACGTGCAGTAAACCTAGTGATAACTGATATAAATGATAACTAACATAATATAGTTATTTTTTAAAAGTTATTTTTTACATTTTTCGCACTTTATTGGGTTTATTTGCCATTTTACAACTTTTTACAATAAAACTTTTGGTAGTGAAAATGCCCAGAATGCAACCTTAGAACATCAAATTTCTTATTTATTTAACACCATTATTTAACAGTGTAATACAGAAAAAGTAATTGGAATATAGTTAAAAAGGTAAATATGCATTATTTAAACAATAACTATAAATAATATTTGACCCTCGATGAAACGGGTTAAACGTGGCAACAGCGCGACATTAAGTTTATGGCTTCACGGTTGATAGCAATGCACTTTTGACATTGCGAGCTAACTTCTGTTTAGTCCTGCATCGCAATGTCAAAAGCCACAAAAATGTATCGGTGGAAAGGAAAAATAATTAGCGAAAGTACGTATCGAAAGAGACTTGCGCAACAAAGATGTGGATTTTTAAGAAGAAAAGTTCAAATTGTGCAAGAAGAAAAAACTGAGCCCACCATGGAGGAAAATGTGAGCGAGAAACCAGAGTTTATGTTGTTTATCAAAATTATTTAATTTTTATTCTTGTTCTCTAAATGAAAACAATACAGATAAAACGAGACTTTACG